TATATATATATATATATATATATATATATATATATATATATATATATATATATATATATATAATATAATATAATATTCATTTCTATGGGGAAAAACTCTAATCCCAGGATGACGACCATAACCCCTACCTAGCCCTATCCTTACCCATAAGTAGCCAAATAAAATATGAGACTTTTGGCATTCTCGGCTTTTTTAATTGCTTTCTCAGTGGGACTCACCACCAGTGGCACTCCAATCTGCCTGAAATGCTTCACTGGATTTCCAGCTCTTACTTCCTTGACATGGTGAGGTCACCTCGCAGCACAATTCTCATTGGCCGCCTACCTGCAAGGGTCTGATTCAGACTGCAAGACAGGGATGGAATGTGTAAAGCAAACTGACTAGTCAGACAAGCTGACCAATCAGAGTGCACTGGTCTTATTGGGGGTGGGGCTTAAAGGTCTAGTAGACCGTTTCAGACAGAGGGTGAATAGAGATATACCGTATAACAAAAATAATGTGTTTTTGGAACACTGACACATGTAAATCTATTCTAGTAGAACCCAAAATATAATTATGAACAGTGAAAATGAGCATAATAGGTCCCCTTTAAATCCCGCTGGCATTTTAGCACAGATTGGCAACGAGGAATGCACACTTCCCAGAAGAAAGAACATACCCAGCTGGAGGGGAATAGACCTGGTCCACTGTTGGACTCCGACAGCTCAAACCCCTGAGGGCTATGTGAGTGTGATATGGGGGGGAGGGGGGTGTTATTGTAAGTGCACAACCACCGTGAACAACAATAAGGAACAACAACATTGCGGCCTTAATATCAGAGGTGACAGCTCACCTTCCTCTGCCCGGATTCCTCGGTCAGTGGATATATGACACATAATCAATCACAGTGTCCACAGAGCAGTCGTTAAAAAGACTCATCCGGGCCAATCAAGTAGAGCCAAGCACCGTAGAGATTCCTAAAATAAGACGTCTGAGGGCTTTTTCTCACAAAAGTAATATCATCTTGAGGCAGCCATTGGTCAGTCACACTGAGCCCAAGGACCTAGAAAAGATAAGTGGAGTAAAGGTGCTTTCGTCTTCCTGCCTTTCTGTCTTATGATGCGTGACGTCTGACATAGAGGGGAAGGGGGACTATGGGCCAGGATAGGTGGGGGGGTCGGGGGTGCGTACCATGCATGTCCAGCCTTTCACCTCTAAGCTCCCAGTGCACCCAACTGCGGCACGGCCCGACCCATTTCCGCGATTCTTAAGAACCAGTTTATAGCAATAAACTATATATTTTAAATGATTGCGCATAGCCGCAGACATTTGAAGTAATTCATTGTGATTCTGTAGGTTATTAGGTAATTCACTGCGAAAATACAGTGAACTGATGTTCTATTTGCGGTGCGATTTTTAATTCCTTACAGTACAGGGGAACGATTAGTTGTTGCCAGCAACGAACCGTTACTGTCGCAAGATGTATAAGCAGACTCCTAATCATGAGGGCATGGTGCATTTTAACGACTTCACGGGGATTTCACAATGATTGGGAGCACGGGTCTTAAACACGTGTATGTGAATTTCACATACAAAATATTTTATATTTGTGTGGCAGGGGGTGCATTGCTTTCACAGTGAGCCATACTCACTGTGTATGGCTATGCCACTGCATCACTGGAATCGTCTTCTAGGTGGTGCACTGGTTGACGTGCCCGATCTGATGAGGCATCAATCTGGGATTCCTGTGTTTTGTTTCAGAGACAGGCTGCGTTTGCCTGTAGGCTGGGGGATTTGTGCAAGTGGCAGTTCTTTATTTTTGGTTCTGGGAATGATACCGGCGGGGGTGGGTTGGCGGGGGCAGGGCCTGGCTGCTGATGAGGGCATAAATTGGGACACCATAGCCTGGGAATCTGAGGCGGGGACGGGCGGGTCGTGGAACACCATATCTCAAGACCAAAACGGTTCG